CCCTGTTGCCCTTTTACAGAGTTCAGGAAAGGACAGATTTTATTTCATTATATATTACCTGAAAGGACCTGATTACTAATTTTTGATCTCTGAAGATGAAAACCTCAATGTGCAGCCAGCTGATGCTCCCACATCATCTAGCACAGAAGGCAGCTTGTAGGGTAAGCTGTGGGCACTCTCATGAACTACTTTTCAAGTGCTCTGTGGTGAATGTCCATTTTTTTTTTTTACAACCCATTATGAATTAATAATTTTGTAAAATATAATAATAGTGAAATAAAAACAAAAGGAACCCTACAAAATATAAGGTCTGATTTATTATTACTGTTATAGTCAACAACTACAACATTACCATGTCAAATTGCTATAAATGATTCTCTGCAGACTTTCAAAGCCGTGACAGCCTGTAGTCTGGTACAGGCCTGAATGAACTTGGAATAGCATTGCCCTAACCTACTGCCTGACCTTTCTGAAGGGAAAATAGATGGCTACCTGTATTAGATAGTCTCAGGTTTGTAGGAGGGAAGACCAGGCAATGTTTGAAGGTCATTCCAGTTTGCTGATTCCTGACCTGGGTCATTTGGGTCCATTTCTGCTCATGGCTTCCATTCACCTATAATGAAAGCAGGGCTTCTGGGCTCATTTGTGTCTCTGTGTCTTGGGCTCCTTGTTCAACACGGTTCTCCTAAACTGCCAGTGTTTGATGCTTGGAAATAACTCCCTCCTCCCCAACATTTAGCTTCAATAGAAAGGAGGAGGAAACATTTACAATATCTCCCTGGATTTTTAATCTCAAAATACCATCTTCAATTGTCATTGGACTGTACAGTTTTAGCCCATGACACATTCCTTTTTTTTTTTGTACTGGGGATTGAACCCAGAGGTGCTTTACCACTGAGCTTCATCCACAACTCTTTTTATTTTGAGCAAGTGTCTAAGTTGCCGAGGCTGGCTTTGAACTTGGGATCTCCTGCTTCAGTTTCCCAAGTTGTTGGGATAACAGGCATGTGTCATTGCATGTGCCACCTGGTCATGACATAATTCTTAACTACTTCAAGTGTTTCATTACATATGTATCACTGTGCAAATTTTTTATTTTATTTTATTTTTGCTTTTTGCAATGCTGGGTATCAAACTCAAGGTCTTTTTTTTTTTTAAAAGCTTGGTCGAAAGTATTTGAATGGACTGAGACATGCACATAACACCTTTTAAAAATAACCACCTTTTAAAAATAATTTTTTAATACTTATTTTTCAGTTTTCGGTGGACACAACATCTTTATTTTATTTTTATGTGGTGCTGAGGATCGAACCCAGCGCCCCGCACATGCCAGGGGAGCGTGTTACCACTTGAGCCACATCCCCAGCCCCAAACTCAAGGTCTTGTACATGCTAGACAAGTACTCCACCAATGAACTGCATCCCCAGCCCCTTACAGTTTAAATGTTGATGTGACTCATACTTTTCGTCACAATATCTTGACAAATAATTCTCTTTAGCAATATAAGCATTTTTGCCTGTGCCACCAAACAATCTTGCTTCATTAGAGCTTGACTTCTAACTTTTTATAGAGTAGGGATAGGTAAATTAATGTTGCTAAGAAAGAGGGAATTTTCTAGTTTTCTTTTCTCCTATCTGTTCATTTCTGTTCATTTTTATCTTGATTAATTTTATGATTTTGGTTTGTTTTAATCAGTTTTTTTTTTGTTGTTGTTGTTGCTGTGAATAACCAGAACAACTGTAGAGGAGGAAAAGTTTATCTGAGGTCTCATGGTTTCAGAGGTCTCAGTCCATAGGAAGTTGGTTCCATTCCTTGGGGCTCAAAGTGAGGCAGAACATCATGGTAGAAGAGTGTGGCAGAGGAAGGCAGTTCACATGATGATCAGACAGCAGAGAGAGTGACTCTACTTACCAGATACAAATATATACCCCAAAGCCATGCTCCCAATGCTCCATTTTCTCTAGTCACACCCAACCTGCCTTCAGTTACCACTCAATTAATACCATCAGATGATTAGTCCATGGATTGGGTTAAGACTTTCACAACCCAATCACTTCTCCTTTGAACCTTCTTGCATTATCTCACACATAAGCTTTTGGGGATACCTCACATCCAAACCATAAGAAGGTTTCTAATTTGAATTTATCATCTTTAAAAAATTTCTATAATCTGTGGTGGTGCATCACTGTAATCCCAGTGATTTGGGAGGCTAAGGAAGGAGGATGACATGTTTGAGGCCAGCCCCAGCAATTTAGTGAGAACCACAGCAACTAGGCATGACCCTGTCTCAAAACAGAGAATAAAAACCAATGGGGATGCAGCTCAGTGGTAAAGTGCCTCTGGGTTCAATCTCCAGTATCCAAAATAAACAAATAAATGAAAATAAAAAATTACAATCTGCTATAAAACAAGTTTAGCCAATTTGCTTAATAAAAATATAATTTACGGGCTAGGGGTGTAGCTCAGTGGAACAGTACTTGCCTAGCATGAGTGAGGCACTGGGTTCTATCCTCAGCACCGCATAAAAATAAATAAATAAAATAGAGGTATTGTGTCCATCTAAAACTAAAATTTTTTTAAATCAAGAAAAATATAATTCACAGTGGAAAGACTTCATGATGAATGGATAGATAATAACTTCTATTATAAAAATAGTTTTCTTTTAAGAAGTCTAAGAATATTATACAATTTGGTCAAACTTTTAAATAAATCCCCATCTAAGGGTTCCAGAGCAGCTAAGCAAAGTTGCCCTGCAGAGGTTTTACCTGAAGTCATGTTTTCTTATTCTTTACTGTGCGGGCTAAATTCCACTGTGGGACAAGTATGAGATGACTATGCTGGAGCCACAGTAGATGTGAAGAACTTTTGAAACTGTTGAGATGCTAACATAAACCATCACACTCCAGAAGAAGACAGACAGCACCTGTGCTTCACAACCAGCCTCCTAACTGGAACATTTCCCAAAATACAGCTCCCTGCCATTCCTCTCACATCCACTCATCTGGTTTCATGATTCATTTCCCAAGTTCAGTTCTACAATTCAAATATTTCTATTTTGTGTTTCTCTCTTTGCCTCAAATTCAACAAACCTAAAATAAAATCAATCTCAAAATCTCAGTGTTGGATGAGATCCCAGGGGACATCTAATCTTGACTTCAATGGCTACATGAATAGTTTCTATAAGGCTTCCAAGAGGGAAGTTTCTCTAATCTCTTATTTCACACCTCCAGCTCCAGGGAACTCCCCTCTTCCCAGGACAGCCATTTTGGGAACCCAGCTTCCAACACCAATTCTACGTCCTGGGTTTTCCTGCCAGGAAATTATATCATCCTCTTTCTAGCTCTTCTGTCCCCTTAAGTCTGCAGTATCTGATTACTCCTAGACTATACTATTTAATCAAGTATGGGATGGGTAAGGCCTAAAGCTTTTCCTCAGCCCCTTCTCAGAGACCTTTAATTCCTAGAACACAATTAATTGTGGATTAATTGTACTGATAATTAAAATTAATCAAGAAATCAACCTTAGCAATTAAGGATTTCTTACTTTGAATGTTGTACTTCATGTGATGTTTTTGACCAAATAGCCACATGAGAATTATATCATGTAGCCATAAATTAGAAAGAGAGATGAAGTGATAATTGTGTAGTTTATATATCACTTACAGACTCCTGCTGAGAGAAAAGTGTTGTGTACAATGGGAAATGATATTTCAGAGAGACGTTGGCAAAATCTGCACAGTTCACAGAAGAGGGCTCATTTTTTTAAGTCATGTTTTTTTTATCTGCTACTCTGTAAACCTAGCCTGTTATTTCCTATATAAAACAACAACAGTGAATAAATACATTTTTACATTTAAAGGTAAAAAACCCAACATAATCTACTTTTCCTGTTATACTAGTAATGCTAGCACTTCAAATTACATGAAAGATGCAAAATTTGAAACTTTTCCTTGATTTTCAAATTATTTCAGTAGGATGAATAGAAATAGAATCCCTGAATGTTACATATCATTTCTCTCCACACCTGAACACAGACGTGTGCCAAAGGATGAGTTATGTGTAGTTCATTAAGGCCCAAATTCCTTTCTAAGATATGGCACTGGAAGAAAATGACTTCGTGATGAGTAAATCACCAGTTACTGGACTAATTTTCCAAAAGCTGTGTTGCTGCAAAGAGACCTGCTAAACACAGGGTGAGTCATGCTGCTGTTTAGAAGCCCACCAAAGAAGGCTATTCCGTCGCATCTCACACTTGAGTTAAAAACGTGTTCCACTCAAGGAGGGCAGCACTAAGTTATTTGAGGACTGCTACTTCCTAGAGGATCCAGCGAGGTAGAAACTAATAGAGAGGACAAGGAGGATTACTCTGTCTTGTTTAGATCTTTAATAATGAGCCCAAAGACTTTTGACTTTAATAATGAGTCAAAAGACTTGTGAACAGGTGCTCTAACAAATGCCCATGCTGGCGTGTTCACAGCACACTATTCACAACAGCCAAATGGCGGACACCAGGCAAGGGTTCATCCATCAATCACTTGGCTATGGATGGATAGACAAATCGTGATATAGCCACACAACGGGATAGTATTTGTCCATAAAAGAATAGGATTACTGATAAATGAGGCAAGGTGGTTGAACCTCAAAAACAGCATGTTCAGTGAAAGAAGACAGTCACAAAATGTCACATATTACATATTCCACTTAGATGAAATATTCAAAATAGATAAATCCATAGACATGGAATGTGGATTGGTGGTTTCCAGGGCAGGGATGGGGGTGGGGGGAGGACAGGAAAGAGGAAATGGGAAGAAACTGCTTAAAGGGTTTTACTTTGGAATGACCGTGATATTCTGGAACTGGATAGAAGCATAAGTTGTACAACACTGTGAATATCCCAAATGCCATTGAATTATTCATTTTATAATGGCTAAGAAAAATAAAAGCAACAGATTTGTCTTAAAGCCAAACTGTTGCTTTTAGAATCCTCACCATTGGGCTTACCTTGCACACCATGGACGTCTTTGCTCCAAGCTTAGCAGCTTGGACACACTGGTTGGCACCTTTCCCTCCAAAGCCAATAAAAAACTTGTGTCCATGGATGGTTTCTCCAGTTTTTGGCAAACGAGAAGTCAGACTATTATAATTTAAAAAGAGAAGAAATAAAGCACATTGGTAACTACAATAAATTTAAGTTCTATAGAAGCTACCTGGTGCTGCACTACATAGTCTTATCATTAAAACTGAGAGCTGACACAGGGGAGATCGCCTCCCCCTCAGGGTGACATTCAGAGTTCCTATCATTGCTGGCATGGCCTTGACAGAACTGTCTCTCTATAGCCCACTGACGCAGCTGGACTTTGGGGGACAGCTGCTGGGGTGCACTACATCAGGGTTAGTCACAGGTACTTCTGTTTCATACTCCCTCCCCAGTGGCTAGCACAGGGCTTTATTCACAGTGGGAGGTACAAAACTGGGATGAAGTCAACGTGTATTTCTGTACAGGATTAGTAGGTCACTTCTATAAGAGGGGAGAGGTGTACTAGGATTCTAGTGATCATGTACAGGACCTAAGGAGAAGAGGGAAAGTGTAATTCCAGGCAGGCAGGAAAAAATTCTATTTGTTGCTGGGTGCTGGTGCAGTGGCTCACACCTGTAATCCCAGCGACTGTGGAGGCTGAGGCAGGAGGATTGCAAGTTTCAGACTAGCCTCAGCAACTTAGAGAGGCCCTAAGCAACTCAGCAAGACCCTGTATCAAAACAAAAATCAAAAAGGGACTCAGGGCATAGCTCAGTGGTTAAGTGCCCCTGGGTTTAATCTTCAGCACCATCTCCCCCCAAATTATTAATTTACTTGGAGGTAGAAATAGGAGCAAGGTATTGAGGGGGCAGGATCAGATTTGGATCCTAGTCCATCATGCATGCCACATTATTCCATGCATTGACTAAAAAGAACATCTATTTAAAGCAATGGATCCTAAAGAGCTATTTAGTTTTTAATTTTTATTATGGAATTTTCCAAACATTAGAGTAGAGAAAGTAGTGTATTGACTCCCCTCACTCCTGTCACTCATCATCCAGACTCAGTAACTATCCACCCACGGCCAATCTTCTTTCAGTCCCTACCTTCACTGACTTCTCCAAAAGCTAAGAACTTTTTACCATGTTATTGCCTAATCATGTTTGTTCCAATATAAGATTTTTAGCACCTTAAAGATGGAAGATGTGAGCTGGGGTTGTAGCTCAGCAGTCG